CTACTACTACTACTCCCACTACCACTACCACTACCACTACTACTACTACTACTACTACTACTACTACTACTACTGCTACTGCTACTACTGCTACTACTGCTACTACTGCTGCTACTACAACTACTACTACTCCTACTACTACTACTACTACTACTACTACTACTCCCACTCCCACTCCCACTACTACTACTACTACTACGACGACGACTACTACTACTACTGCTAATTACTACTGCTACTACCACTACTACTACTGGCACAGCTGCCACTGCCACTGTCACTGCGACTGCCACTACCAGCACCCCACACCCGATCCCGACTCAACAAGTCTTTAACGGCTAACGGCAGGGGCGCAGCAATGAGCATCATGTCTGTTGCGGTATGTCAGACAAACATGGCCGAGCCTTCAGCTCACCAGCCGCGAGGTAATCATCAATTCCGACTCCGATATGCCTTGGAGGCTAGGAAACTTCGATCCGAAATCGTTTAGGGCTTAAGCTTCGATCTGGGTTGGGTGTAGTCATAGCCAACAAGGTGCCCGAGCACATGCGGCCATGGCTCGTCCGAAGTTTAGAGTCTGAACATCGTACTTCAAGTTTCAAGCCTCGCAAACACGACCGTACTCCAGGTGCCAAGTTGCATTTTCTGCGTTTCGGAGAGACACTTGTTGATGACATCTCGGATGTGTGCTCGAAGAAGTTTGCATTGATCTAGGAGGTTGTTGCTGTGCTGGCTGACCATCTGCTGCTCGTCGTAGTTCCTGTGAAGCCAGGCAAGGGCTTCACAATTTCCCATAGCTTCTGATTTCATGCAGAAACACCTGGAGCTTCATCCACGACGTGAAGTTAGACAACCCATGATTAAAAATCTTGAAACATAATTTCGGTCACCTGTCTTCTCAGCACGCTGTGTTGGCATTGCAAGTCCTGAATTGAAGTGTAGAGATGCAATCCGATCTTAAACATGCCTCCAGAAATTCTGCTTTGTCGTAAACGCTGGAACAACCAATCAATCGGAATCCTGGCTTGCGAGCGCTCTGGAAACGGAGCAGCTTGAACAAACAGTCGAAACTGCAATACGCTAACTGCCAACTCGGCAAACAAAGCTCAACCCCGAACCAATCCATTCGAAAGAAAGAACTTAAACCCCAAGTGTTGCACACACGCAACATGGGAAGCACTGCAGCGATCGCTTTGCGTTCAACCGGAGAAATAACACCCACACCAAAAAAACTATTGGTGACAAGCTGGCACCTAATATCCTCAGCCACAACGGTTAGGTCCCAAACCCTCACTGCCCTTTCGTCACCCCGTCACCTCGTCAACAATTCCCTCCCGACTCGCGCCTTAGGCGGCTGGAGTCTTGACTTAAGGACCTGTGTCAGCCAACGATATGAAGGACTTTCGTCTCAGTGTTTGGGCGGGTGCGGATGTTTATGTTTTTGTTTCACCGTCTACGTCTAACTCTTGTCCGTCGCAGGGCTGTCGTTGCTGGCTAGCACTATGCGTTGTTCTTCAGCTTGCGCTGTACGCTTTGCTTTAAGTATGAACCTGTCTACGCATCATCATGACGTGGCTTCTCGTACTCTCACTGCAGTGGCAAGAGTTCCAGTTAAAGTCAACGTGACTTTGACGGTGCATGTCAAAAAGACTGCGTTGAATCCTTGACCGTTTCTACGAGTACTGCTTACTGTTTGTCTTTGGCCTGCCCGGGGTGGTGCAAAAGCAGGGGGAGAACCTTGAATATTTTGGTGGCTTGCCGCTTTTCTTGTGAGATATCGTGTGATGATCAAGTAGAAGCTACGATGGTCACGGCGATGATTGTTGTTTCGTTAGTCTTCGTCCCTTGGCTTACGGGCACAGGCTGACTAGGCTGCCAAGCTGTTTGTGTCCGGGACCTTTACAGAACAAGCAGCGACGCACATCCCGACACTGGTCCGCGGGTGCTTTGTGCAAGTTTCTGCCTTCTAGTCTCCCAACACAAAAGCGATTTGGATCCTCAGGGTGTGAGGTCATAAATCGAATGAACTGTGGTGGACTTTGAACAGCAACACCACCCGACAGTGACGACAAACTTAAGGCCACGAGCCCAAAGCTCCAAAACCAGACTGTCGCTTCACGCCCTCCCGAGCCACAACTCTCGGCAATGGCATCAACAACGAAACGAAGAAAGCAAGTAGAAGCAATCCGTGGATCACGAGTTCATTGATGTGTCCAAGGAACTTCACACCGCTGCCTACTCGGCCGAGCTCGTTGTCCAGTGCCTGGCAGAGCTTCTGCATGATCCGCGATGCTGGCATTGATTGCGGCCTGTTAGAAGTACGAGCTCTATCCCTATCTCAACAAACCCCAGTAATTGGAGTGTAGAAACACTTCCCCTCACCAACACGCCAACAAAGCATTGTGGCGGACAACATGGCAAATCTTATTCCAGGCCTTGAGCTCACGAGCGATGATGTCCAGCTTGAATATGTCCAGCTCCTGATCAGTTCAGCACCTTGGGCTACGAAAGCCCAGTCGGCTGGGCCCAGGCTTGTGCTGCGCCTCATAAGAATTGGCATACTTGAACTGCCTTCATTTCGTGGATCCGCTCCACATCAATACACAGATCATGTGATGAAAGCTGCGTTGGAAGCTTGCGCGGTGGGATGGTGCTTGTGTTTTGTTCAGGCGAATTCCCTCCGCTATCCAGATGCACTACCGGTACATCTTGTTCGCTCGCATGTGCGTGTGTTTCGCCGCTTGTTTGTCTGTCCTTGTACTTGACGGCCATGAGCCGCTCCTTCTCCAACGCAGCCTCGCGCTCCTGAAGGCTTTGTTGCAACGTGGCAGCGACCGGCAACCGTCAAAAGCTCCTTCTCTTTGAGGTCCAAGGCCCTTTCCTCAGCAGGGCGCACAACAAATGTCGCATCGTCACAGCCCTGAAGCTACTAGCAGCCTAGCTTCCAGCTCGGCGAGGCGGCTGCTGGTGGAGTTGTAGATCCTCTGCAGGCCTGGACCACGTGGAACCGTGGAGAACATGCCTGTAATCAGATGCGGACCGATGCGATACTTGCCGGTGTGGGGCATTTATGGATACATGAAGCCCTGGAAACACCGCTTCAGTCCCTCAACCGGGGACTGAATTGGCCGCTTGTGGGGCTATTCCAGTCACACCAAATTGTAAATTCAACCGGCGTACACCCAAACTCCCAAGCGGAAATGAAGTTCCAGTAGTGGTAACGATATTCGTGGTAGGAATGGTCGACTCGTCGTTGTCAACCGCAGAATACACAGATGTGCTTGGCACAACTTTGACTCAATCGGCCTCAATTCTAGTACTATTCTGCTCACAGCTCTAAGTGAAATTAGCAGCCATTCAGCTGAGCTCTACTCCTAACTATGGCCACGAAAGGCAAGGCTGGAATGGTAGATCTCGAAGGCGTGAATCGGGTCGCTCATCCAATCCCTCCTTCTAATGAGTGGTGAACCGTTCCAGTTCCCCGCAAACTGAGAGGATCTTACAGCCAAAATCGTCAACTGCACCGTTACGTTAAGCTGCCGCGAGAAATGATAATACTGCCCATGCGTATATGTATATATATATATA